ATATTTACCCGCTACTGCTATACCAAAAAAATATAGTGAGGTAGAAGAGGAAGGTTCGTTAACGACACCACGCGTTTTACATATTCGATAGCAAAACAACCATCAACTAGTGCCAATAATGTTTCGCACAGTGATAATTCTGAACTTGACGATTTTGTTGATGATCTTATAGATATGCCGTTATCACCATTGGTCAAGAAAAAAGATTTCATAATTATCATACACTTTTGTTAAAAGGTCTGACTCAGTGTTTCTCATCTTTATACAGTATTTTTGTGCTAATAGTTGTCTATATAATTCTAATGAGTTTCATTACACTTTGCTAGCATAACGTTTGTTGAAGTTGATACCATTGCAGTTAAACATATTCTTACGTATCTGTATTGTACACGATCTAATATTTTTAAATTGGTATTGCTAGTTCATACATATATCCAACTCATACATTACTTATTTTAGTTTATGAAAACAACGTTACAATTAATTTCTATAACTATTAATGTAAACAAGTTTGTTTGGTTTTTTTACCTTGAATTATTATTTTGTTAATATTGTTTATGTGTAGATATTAGAATTTTGATAAGTGTTATATAACTATTAAAATAATGCGAATTTAATTTTTGCAATATATATATCACTTTGTAATTTAAAATTATTTCATTAATAAACAGCTCAGATCGGGCGAGTTGATTGAAAAAAAAAACACATTCTCATTAATGTAAGCAGAAATAGAGAAATGGTGTGTATTTTATAAAATACATAAATAAATAAAATAAAGGCTACTATTTATTAAAGTTTTGTTAATTATTATTCCTTTTATCCCAACACATAGATTAATTTGTCCCCAAATATATGTTGCCCCTTGTTGTGGCATATCGATCTGTTTATTTGTTTCAAAACCATTCCCATAAATTTACTATATTTTCAATCGTCATTTTAAAGATTAATAGATTGAAAATTAATTTTTTCAAAACAACACCATTGTTTAAAAAGATTTTCTTTTTTAAACAATGATAAAACTTAAGTCTTGACTAAAAAATAAACCTCCGCATAAGTGTTCTAAGACGATAGCAATCGAGTATTTTTCAATTAAATATTTAATCCTTTTCTAACAAATCATAACACCAAATTTAATATCTGGTAAACTAATAAAAATTAAAAAAAAAAAGGTATCATTTACCTACTTCATTTAAATAGATTACTGACCGATTTATATTTAGCAAGTCTCAAAGTATAAAAACAATTTGAAATATTCGCTCGAAATAGTCAAGTTATCTTTCATAAGATGCATACAACGATAATACCAATAAGCATTTTATATATTCTTATAATATAGTCTTATAATATATTCTTTACAATCTGGCATCCGTGTACAGGTTCGCATTAGTTATCAGACAGCTGAAAATATAGTCGAGTAGAATCCTGCAAAGAATTAAGTTTCTGTTAATAGTTTTTAAAATTTATGACTAGAGGCCGCCATATGACGGCAGATTAAAAGTCAAACATTTGTTCCATAAGGATTGACTAACTAGTCCTATTTAAACAATGGTAATTACTATATTTATTGGGAATAAACGGCAATATAAGTTTAAAATAAGTTTATAAGATAAATTATATAAATATGTAATTAATAAATAACTAATAATTAATCATAAAAATAACATATGGAGGATATATTATTTATGTTTCAACATTAATATAAAATCAGTTTGGTGTTTATTACCGCCGCAGCTTCACTAAATGACATGCACCCTTATTCCGTATCGTACGGCCGTAGCATCCTCCGAGGTACTCGGAGTTTCTGGATGATCTAAGATCACCGCTCTGGGGAGGATCGTAAGTTTCTCGATTTCATCCTCGTGTTTGTGTAGTTTATGTAATCTAGGCTTAGCGAGAAGGTTACCTTAACCGAGAAGCCCCGGTAAACTTCTCGCTTAGCGAGAAGTTTACCGGGGCTTCTCAGTGGAAAGATGTGTCAGTTAGACACGATCCGAAATAGCTATAAGACACCCTGTCTTTTTTCTATTTCAATGATCGTGTCTATTCTAGCGGGTCTAGTAGTGTAGGACGTCTAGATCTTGATCGGAAGATGTGCTGCTCTTTTATACACTTCATGTTTGCGAATTCGCAGCAATGTTCCGCCGGGAGGCCAATAATAACGCACTTAATAATGAGCTTTGTGATTGGCCGGCCAAAGTAACAATTTGATTGGTCACTTTGGCGACATCCGAAATGTCTAATTTTACATAACTCTGGAACATGACCCAGATTAAATTTGATCGATGGCATGAGTTATATTGTCTTTGAAGGCCCATGTGATTTATGGCTTATTCTCATACACCTGCAACGACTTCAGAAAACCACACAAGAAAGACTCTAAGTTAGTTAAATCCCACGATCTTGGTGTCTAGTTCACATCACTTCCACTTGAGATTACCATGATTAGCATGAACTGCTTCCCGTTATTACTTTCATTTCAAGCTGGGATTTTTCCAGTTTTTTTTCTTCGCCTAGTATTGTCCTTTTCCAGTTTTTTTTTGGCATTTTCTTGGTTGATTTGGTTAAATAAATTATACAATATAATATAGTAAACTCTTTTATATTTGTGTTTGTGGAAGATTTTAAATTTCGTTTTAGTTGCGTAAATCCTGGATTTTTATACGTGTTTAAGCATATTATAGGCATTAATAGCCTTAATAAAATTATTTCATATACATCACGGACTGTACCACCGTTACAATCAATTATATTGCCCAGATACACAAATTTCACCACTCTCTTATTTTATTGGTTGTTAAGCGCAATAGGCTGGTTGTTTCTGGTGTCCAATCACATTTCTTTTCTTTTGCTTATGTTTATTTTTCAGCCAAACTTCTTTTATTCTTCTATATCCTTTTTACTTAGAGTTGCATGCCCTGTTTTGTATGTGCTAAAAGGCACATATCATCAGCGCAATCTAGATCTTTCAGTCTGTTTGTTAATTCCCAGTAAATTCTTTATTAGAGTTTACCTGTATTATTACGGACCCTAGTACAATCTTGAATAGTAAGGGGAATAAAACACAGCCCTGTTTTACTCCGTTTATCACAGCTATTGGGTTGAATTTTATTCCGTTGTGAAGGAGTGTGCTTTGTGTATCACTGTAGAGTTCTTTATTAAAATTTATTATTTGTTCTGATATTTCTTTTTCCTGTAGTGCTTTTCATATCGCTTTATGTATGAGCGTGTCGAAGACTCTCTCAAGCCGTAGCAGCTGGCTGTCAGGGAACTGACCATACTCAATAGGTCAGAGACAAAAATGTTATGAATTAGACAGTTAACCGGATAGAACCGACGTTTACATAGCGATGGGGAGAGTAAGAGGAAATCATCTTATTATTTTATTCATAGTAATTATCTTTCTGGTTAAAGAAACAAAAAATTTTCTGCAAAACTTAAATGTCCAAAGGATGCAAAGAATCCTTCTTCTTTTTTTTCTTCTTCCTTTTCTTCATTTATATAAGCAATTTTGCTTGCTCATTGGCAAGCTTATACCTCTATGAAGAATTGTCACTCCATCTCTTCTACCTCTTGGTGATTTGTCCCTTGCCATTTTAATTACTTTTTTGTCCACCATTCTGCTGATGATATTGTTTTATTCTTTTTTTCTATTTAGCCTCCACTCGTCTTATCCAGCATCTCAGTGCGTTAAGGTATTCTCATTTTTGCTGTTTCCAGCATTCTCTATTTGGCTGTGACAGGTTGTGCTACTGATACGTCATTGTTGGTCTGATACTGGCCTCATAAATTTTTGATTTCATGTCACAGTTAATGTGTCGGTCACGCTATATAGTGTTATTAAGATATTCTGATAATATATTTGCTCTTTGTACTTAATCTCTTACTTATTTTTCAACGTCTCCATAATTGGATAGTGTAATTCCTAGTTACTTTATTTTCATTACTTGTTCTCCATCGTTTTTCGGTATACATCTAATTGGTTAGTTAGTGATTATGAGTTGACATCATTATGTTAAATTATTTTGCTCTTGTATTAAATCTGTTATCTAATGTTTTAAGGCTATCTTGATTTTGGGCTAACAATATTGCATCATCTGCGTAATAAAGACTTTTAATTTTGTCGTTTCCCATTCTGTATTCTGTTTTTTTATTGACGCTACTTATGACTTCATCTACAAATCTATTGAATAGCATAGAGCTTAGTAAATCCTTCTGTCTTATTACATTGCCTGTTCATACAAGCAGTGTAACATAAGTTCAGTAAGCTGTCCAATTATTCTGACTTCCACCTTTATCTTTACTAAATGTACTAAATCTTTAAGTTTTACTCTGCGACATCTAATGCTTTCTCTGTAATCTCTTTTATGACGAATATTGCATATGTACACGACTTTCCCGTACGACAACCGTCATCTGCTAAGTTTATGAGTTGATTTATTCGTTCTTCCAAAATTTAAGATGTAAGTTTCAGGGTAGTATTCATCAAAATCACTGTAGTTTTCTGGTTGTTTCTTATCGGCCTTTTAAATAATAAGATTCGCTCGCTTGACCTTCGTTCCCAAACCATTCTTCGGAGTAAAATTAAAAATTCATCATGTACTGTAAAAAGCATGAACAGGACAGGCAAAAAACTTTATTCAATAAAAGAAATGAATATATTTAAAAAAAAAAGATGGGTGGCAGTGGTGTACAATGGGTGAGAAACAGAAAGTTTTCTATTAATGAATATCGTATAGAAATTAATACCGATTTTTTAATAGTGATAAGTTTAGTGATAGATAGTTATAAGGAATAACTATAATTTTCAACAACTTAAAACACTTCGTTTCATCCGTAGGTTATTACAGCTGAAGACCTTTGCAGAGTATATGAGTCAGGAGCATGAGAACCATTTGTTTTTATCTTCATACATATAAGGTTTATAACTTGTTAATTAAGGATAAAAACGCCCCAGATAGAGATTTTAAATCTAGAGCTACCAATATAACTGAGATACCTACTTGGGGGAGTACTAAAATCTGCAAAGTTCCAAATCATTTCTCCAATAAACCAACCCTCGGCTCTAAGTTTGTCGTAAGCGTCGAAATATTGTGCCATGAACTTAACTTGGTACTCTTCGCTCCAAACAAATTCTGGCAGCTAAAATGTTAAATAATTAATTGGACTATTATATTTGTAGACCTACATCGAATAACACAACACGAAGTATTTGTATAGGGAAATTAAATATTCATCGATTAATAATAATTAAGCACTTGATGAACTGACGGAACACAAAAGTGTCCCACTGGTATGGGTATCATGTCAAACAGAAATACACGGTAATGAAAGGACTTTGTTCTTTATTAACGAGTTCTCTTATCTATAGTCCGACCGCTGGGTACCTTTCTGTATGCATTTAAGGAAAGATAGTTGAAAACTATTCTATCTTATGTAATTTTTTCGCTACATACAAATGTGTAGGTTCCCTATCTCCAAGTAGTACCAATATTTAAAAATAATTTTTTAATAATAAATTTTCAAATTTGAATATTTTAATTTACAACTAGTACCATCGTAAAGTACGGCTAAAGATTGATTTAAAATGCTGCATATCTTATATATAAAAAGTTTATAGTTTAAAAATTTTAACTCCAGAAATCGAAGATATAGCTAGTCATTATAATTTTTACCGTTGATTGAATAACCCAATCAACGCATCAACGAATAACCCTAATGGGTTATTCAATCAACGCTTTTACATGATGCATATTTCTATAACAGCTTCATATAAATAGAAACTTTAAACCTGTTTTAAAAATTTAATATTGAAAAAAAAATGAAAGAAACTGTATTTTTCATTAAATTAATAATCAATAAACAACTAAACGTTTCGTCTAAATAAACAAATGAAACGTGTTTTTTTTTTAATTATTATAGTTTTCTAAAAGCTTGATTCTTTTGTGAACGACACTAGCTCTTTCATATAAGGCTTCTGTATTGTCTTCCATTTTAAACCTAAACAAAATATGTTTGAAAGCTCTGAAGGGAATTTATGATACCCTTATAACATTACCAAAAAAAATCGAATTCCTCACAATGTGATGATTATCGAACATTAAGCTTGATGTCTTATGTCCTTAAAACTTTTCTCATAATTATCTATACACGAATTTACAAGAAGTGTGAGTTTCAGATGAGTGACACTCAATTCAAATTTCGAAACGGATTGGGAACACTAGATGCTCTTTTTGCTTTAAATGTGTTAACGCAACGATGCAGAGACATGAATGTAGATGTATACATGGTGCAACGAAAAGAAGGTATGATCGATAGCGTGCTAAATTTCGTCTGTTCTGCGCAGTGACGTCATGCGAAGAGGTATATTCTTAAAGTACATAGAAGGACTGCTTAATTTCATCACTTTAATATTTTGTTATTTATAATTTATTGTTTTTATTATTTTTTTTAATGACTCTATGAGAAATCTGATATTTCGTGTCGAATTAAGCGTTCTTTGGGGCCGGGAACTAAATAGCAAAGATTGTTAATCCGGTGCCAGGGATATTAATTGAAGGCTTTGGTCAACTTAAGTATTTAAAACTAATTAATGTAAGCCTGCTGAAAATAAAAATAAAAATTCTTTTATTTGTTTTTATAGCATGATTTTATTTCGTATATTTCATTGATATTTAAAATTAGGCAGAAATTAAACATATTAATAAATTTAAATGGTACACAGTTTATTAAAATAAGTCCATATGATTCACAAAAATATGGGGCGTAAAAACACATTATAAAGTTATAATCAACCATTATTTTGATGACATATTTTCATTGTTAAATACTTGAATATTCAAATACTGTATAAGGCCACCAAATCTAGATGAAATCAGTAGTTATTTTTGTACTTAACAGTGTTAATTTTCATATTTGATTTGTTTGTATCATATGTAACAAGTCCAATCAAAAATATTGAGAATGATATTGAACGCCCCCTAGTATGTAAGCTATAAAATCCTACACTAGTTACTTTGATGCACTGAGACATCATCCAAATGATTAAGCAACACATGTTAACATACAGTGTAAAAATCAATATCTGTAATCTCTTACAAACTAAGCTTTTTATCCGATTTTTAAATGAAGCCAAGGAGACACCAAATATTTCTAAATTGTTCCTATTTATAAATTTCAGTGTTCGGCTAATGGACGAATGCATACCATAATTTGTATAGTGAAAAGGTATATAAAACAGATCAACATGTTTGAGATTTCTGGAAGGAACATATGAACTAATAGATTGGAGAAGTTCAGTGGCAACAAATTAAAAGATTTATTAATTTCAACACAAATACTAAAACAGACTTATCTCATCAGGTTTTTAATAAATTCATGTGTTTTTGAGTGTTTTTAAAATAACTGTATAATTATGATTAATAATGTGTATGATTAATTTATATGCACAATATCTTACAAATTTGTTGTGCAATCTCTCCAAAAGTAGAATGGACTTGGTATTGTGGAGACCATACAGTAGACGCATATTCCACTTTAGATGCGACTAAAGCATAATAAACCCTTCTTAAAGCCCAAACAGATAGTCTCAGACAGTCGCGAATGATAAATCCTAAAGTGTTTAATCAATTAACTGTTACATCATTTACATTAAAAAAAATGTTTAATGTACTAATGTTTATATCATTTACATGTACAAAACGCAACTATTCATCAAATGTGACTCCTAAGTATATTATTGTTTCTACATAAGACAATTCATTATCATTAATTGTATAAAAAGTATTAAATTTTTTACTACATCTATCTTTCTTGCTTTCCACTGGTTTCTCAAAAGGTAAATATAATGTAGGCACTGCATCCTCTTTTAAAAGACGGTGATTTTTAAAAGACACTCCCATCATAAGTTCAGATTTTAAATCTCTCTTGAAATTATCTGCAGTAAAATGTTTTGAGCAAATCCTTCCATTTTTAGGAATAAAATAGTCCTTTCGTTTACATGTCTCTACTCAATTTTTTACAATATTTGGATCGTTTAGGAACCAGAAAAGCATAATATCTTTCTGAACTACTTTACTTTGATTGTTACTATTACATAGTGCTATTGAACACCTTATCTTTAAATAACGAAAAGAGTATCTTTCGTTTACAAAAATTAAATGATAATTCTACACTTCACAATAATACACATACTAAAGCTTATGCTTTACCTCTTCACATTACGTCACACTATAAACGACAACTCCGCCCTAATGTGCAAGATCATATCTTCTCTTTTCTTTGTATTATGAGATGTATATGCATGTTTTATTGACTATCGAAAAGCATTTGACTGCGTTAGCCATCAAAAGATGATCGAAATTCTGAGAACAACTGGAGTTGACAAACAAGACTTGCAAATTATCTCAATACTATACTGGCACCAAAGGGCAACAATTGAAATAGAGCACACAACATACGAAGATATACAAATCCGACGAGAAGTGAGATAGGGTTGCGTCTTATCACCGCTACTGTTTAATTTGTATTCGGTGTCTATATTCAGAGAAGCATTAGACCAGGTCCAAGGCGGAATTAAGATTAACGGAATCAGCATAAACAACATCAAATATGCTGATGATACGGTCTTAATAGCAAACAATGCACAAGAACTACAAAATATATTAAATGCCGTAGTTAACTACAGCAAAATGTTCGGTTTACATCTAAACGTTTCCAAAACTAAAACTTTAGCATTTTCAAAGACACCAAACGTAGATGTGTATGCCAAGGGTCAAATAATAGAACAGAGGGGAATTTAGGAGCAAATATTAATAGTCAGTGTAATCCAAAAAAAGAAATACTATCAAGAATCGAACAAGCAAGGAAAATATTCATAAGCATGAAAACATTTTTTACAAGATCAGACCTTAGTCTGCAGCTTAGAATCCGAATGATTAGATGTTACATTTTTTATGTCTTACTGTATGGCTGTGAAAGTTGGACAATGGACTCTGAAATAAAAAAAATGCCTTTGGGATGTATATATACAAACGAATGTTGAGAATTCTATTGGTACAAAGAGTTACTAATGTTGAGATACTTCGTCGAATGTGTAAACAAAAAGAATTACTAAGAATAATCAAAGAGAGCCATACATGGGTCATGTGTTGAGAGGTGAAAGATATGAATCACTTTAAGTTATACTGGAAGGAAAAGTACAAGGCAAAAGATCAGTACGAAGATGCCAGAACTCGTGGCTGAAAGACTGAGGAGATGGTTCGACCGCTCATCCGCAGAAATCTTTCGCGCAGCAGTTTCCAAAACTACAATTGTCATTTGGATTGCCAACTTTCGAAAGAAGACGGCGCCATGAGAAGAAAAAAGAGGCTTAACCTGAAAATTTTGAATGTATTTCTGACTTTTAATTTTTTAATAATGACTATACAGAAACATGCTGTTTCCTTTTACCCATTTTATCTTCTTCTTCTAGTTCCATGACCGTTATCGATCGTTGGATATCATGTTGGCTACCATATTCGCTATCGTGACTTTATTGACAGCAGCTCTAAATAACGATGTAGTTGATTTTCCATACCATTGCCTTAGATTTTTCAGCCATGATGTTCTTCTTCTACCAGGACCATGATTACCTTGGATCTTTCCCTGAATAATCAGATGTAAAAGATCATATTTTTCAGGGTGTTTCATAATATGACCGAAGTATTCCAGCTTGCGTTTCTTTATTATATTGACCAGTTGTGTTGTTTGGTTCAGCCGTCTAAGGACCTCCTCATTTCTAACTCTGTCGACCCAGCTTATTTTCTATATGTCTATAATTTTAAACTTACAACCCTCACTAAGATCTTAAGTCTTATAATGTCTACGAGCCCCTTCCCATATCAGTTAGCCTAACATTAGATTGATAAGAAAATTAAATTTTAGAGAACAAAAATAAAACTCCATCGTAAATTTTAGAAGTTTTAATGCATCGAACAATATTTTTGAATTTCCTAATCATAGAAAATATTTTATAACGTAATAAAAACTAATGATTTAACAGAATAATAATAAATTTAAGAAACGCATAGAATATTTCATATTATTAAAAAAAATGTGAAAATTTACCACTGAGTTACATGCCCTTTGTTTTTAATAAAATC